AGTGTGTGTGTGTGTGTGTGTGTGTGTGTGTGTGTGTGTGTGTGTGTGTGTGTGTGTGTGTGTATCAGCAGTTGGTTGTGTTAGTGCTGACAGGCTCCCTCTACAGTAACACCCTGAACATTATAGCAGCCTTTCTTTGGAAATGCACTGCAGTTAAAGATTAAAGATACAAAGGTAGATTAGTCATAGATGTTACTACAGGTAGGGAAGGAGAAGGTGCAGTACATGAGATAGTATAGAGGACATGTCTTGAAGAATTTACTGCAGCTATTCCAACGTTAGAAATAGATACAAATTAGTGATCATCTCATAAAAACTGGATAAAATACTTTGAGAGAGCCGTTCTGCATAATGGGTACTTTTGATACTTTAAGTACATTTGACTCATTCCTGCACTTCTCTTGGCCTGTTGCAATATGTTATTGAAATAGTACATTTTGATGCTGATACATTTGTACTTTTACTCAAGTAAATTCAGGATGATTACTTGTAAGTGTAAAGGACCTCCCCGGTGCGGGAGGTCCCGGGTTCAAATCCCGGACGAGCCCTTACTTTGAGATTCTCTACTTAACTAAAACACATATTTCTACGTGTACATCTGTGTTGAATTTTTTTAGTGTTACCTAAACTGCACAACTGTTGTGAAAAGTCATGCAACACCCGAAACAGGAGATAGCAAGTTCGAGTCCCACTGCAGTCAGCATGCTCCTGTGGGGATTGTCCACAGTATTGAGTATGTAAGTCGCTTTGGATAAAAGCGTCTAACAAATGACATGTAATGTAATGGAGTACTTTATGTTGCATTGTTGGAGGAGCCTTGGACTTAAGATGTTCCTTGCATAACTACACTGTAGCTACAGTGCATTATGACAATGAAGCCTTTGTATATTTAAGACAATTTCATATTTACCTTTACTTAACTACAGCTTTGAGTACTTTATCTACCTCTGCATAAAGCAGGTTGGGCTTACCTTCAGTGTGTCTTCTTTGAACAGATCCTCCGGTACTTTGCAGGCGATCAGGGCGTTGGGTAGATCCGTAAACTTGACATCTACCGTCGCCTCTTCAGTGGCTGGCCGCTGCATCCTGATTACTGTCCTCTGCACACACAGCACAAAAATCTTTAAATATAAATAATAAAGACAAGGCTCGGCTAACGCCCACAGCCACAGGCCACGTATCAGCTGAAGTTGAGGCACAAGGATGCATTTAATGTCATGCGTACTACTAAAGCCGTAGTCGTTATTTCATTTAAATAGTGAGATGTTGAAGCTCACCAGAGCTGCCTTTCTTCCGTGTAACGTTATTAGCTTACACTAAGCTGGCTAGCTGCTTATGCTAACCAGGAAACTACAATAATGCCGCCGAAAAAGCGAAACACACGATATTCCTAGAATATTTTCTCTCACTTAAGTCTAGGTGAAGGTGGTCGTTGGGAAGGTGGTATTGTCTTAGACTAAAACAGCCAAATATTCTCTACTTTTAACTGAAAATAGTCTCCCCGAATCGATTTGTTAGCATCTAGCAAAGGATAAAGGAGATGACGTTATTCTTCTTCTTCTTTCCAGCAAGCTAGGCACAAGTATAGTGTAGTACATGTCTGCCCTCTAGCGGTGTAGTAACGTCAATTTAAAAGAGAAATCCCCTGTCACCAATAATGTTCTAGGGATTAAACTAACATTTAAAAAACTTCATCCTCAAAAACAATAACATTACAAATATAAAACAACAAGAAACTACAACAAAAGTACCTTTTTGCTTAGTTTGTTTTATCTAGCAGTCACTGAAGTTATATTGAAGACAAGCATGTGCAAAACTGCAAGTGAAAACCAAGGGAAAAAAAACATACAAATGTTTCCCTTCCACAAATGTTATAAGGATAATACCAAAAAAAAGTAATAGTATGTTATGTTTTGTGATTCATTCTGGATGGTATGTGAGAAGCAGCACGGTGCCATATTGTGTCACCAATGTAACAATTTAAAAGCTTACACGATGACATTCAAAATGAGTGTAGAAATATAATTAAACACTTTAAATGCTACACAAGGCTGAAACTGTATGTGTTTTTTGCATATTAGTGATATTTGTGTGTGTTTGAGGAATGTAACTACTTGCGCTAGTACCTGAGTGGCAAAAGGGTTTAAGCTCCAGGTCATGTGGGGATCAGCCACCACTTAATCCGGAGAGAGAGAAACTGTGAGAGGGAGGGAGTGAGAGAGAAAGAGAAAGGGAGGAAGAGAGAGAGGGGTGAGAAAGAGAGCGGTAGATTGTATTAATTGATGTCTAACTGTGCTAAAGACTGCAGAGTACTGCAGAGTACCAAAGCCACAAGGTAAGGGTGAAAGGATTGTACCACGAACCTCTACGCCTGGATAGACTTAATATCTGTGGGATTAAAATATCTAAATCTGGATTTTCTTTCCTTTGCCTGGAAGTTTGGAACTAGTAAATCTATTGGTCTTTTAGGATTGCATGCGGGTTTCCGATCATTTCCGGACCTCTCAAACCTGGACTCATCCGGAAATAATCCTACAAATTGCAAATTGGAATCCATTTCAGGAAGGTTCTATTTCACAATAATTTTTTTCTACTGTCTTTGGACATCACAAACACTGTTTAATCAAAACGTTGACATTTTGTAGATCCTTACAACAACCGTGGACACTAAGGCTCCAGTTCGTTCGAAGTAAGTGTCCTATCATTTCTTTAACTTTTATGATGGCTCGGCCAGGCTCCCTCCCTAACCCAGACCTCTCGAATGGTGCCATTATCCATGGCCCACTAGGGATTTGTTCAGACCTGGATACGNACTTGATGGGCCGCGCAGAGGGAGAAAGTCAGAAATGATTCAGAATCAGCGAATAGATCAGAGTTCTGATTTATGTCGCCATAAATGGAAACGAACTCGGCAAGAATGACGCCAGATCATTCTTATCAACCAGAGGAAAAAAGAGTCCCGAGAAAACGAAGCGGTGGAGAAAGAACTGAGGCCTGTGAGGAAAGGAGTGTGGGAATCTGAGAGTGGAAAAAAAAAGGAATGGTCAAGGAAGGAGACATCAGCAGATCTGAAAAGCTCCAAGGGAAGGATGACTGGATGAAGGAGCTGAAGTCCCGTGACTCAAAAACGAATCGTGGCCCAAAAAGGGGAATGAGCAGGTGAAGAAAAAGCGAGTGGTGCTGTTGAGGATGGACAGTCGTACATCCCCCAGCGGTGCGAGGGAGATGATCGGGAGGACACGAGGGAGAAAAAAAGTGAAACTGATCTCCCATAGGAGGCCGAGAGTCTCCTTTCCCGCTGGCACAAGAACAACAAAACACCCAGGACCCAGGACTACGAGGTCTCCCTCTATGTTAAGTAATGTTCCAACACATACTGTACACAGAATTAAATCCAGACGACACCATAAGAATGGTTTTGTACGGTTCTTGGCAGCATGAAAATGAACTCACTATGATATGTTTCCTTGGATGCCGTCTTGGCTTTTAACATTATATTGTGTGTGTGTGTGTGGTGTGTGCTGTTCATGCGTATGAGAGAGAATCCCAACTTGATCTGCCTTCTTATCTCATTAAAGACATCAGGCATGGTAGCCTACATTGACGTGCTACAATGGTAAAGGTCATTGACAAAGATTATATAGGGACACACACACATATCATTTAGAAGACGAATTATCCTTGTAAATGTGTAACCATCACTGATACTTACTTTTCCTCACACACATGCACACGAGAGGTCCGACATTCCTAACTGAGAAGAAAAACAAAAAGCGGGCAGCCTTCAGACGACCAGCAGAGAGGGTTTAATGGAAGGTACACACACCCCCTCTCTCTCACAACACACACACACACACACACACACACACACACACACACACACACACACACACACACACACACACACACACACACACACACACATACACACAACAAGCTTGTTCTCTGTGGGAGCTCACAGTCAAACAACGGCTCTCTTTGTCAGACACTCTGCTGGCAGCGCACACTCGGGGAGATGGAGTGGAAAGGTTCGCCGGACTCAAAAACACTCATATTTATCCAATCGGCCAACCAGAAGTCTTCACAAGATTGTTCAAATGATTACAAAACACAATACTTACTATTATTTCAACGTGTCATTAAGTACAGTATATATATATATATATATATATATATATGGTGTTGTATGCGTTTCAGGTGACTGAATAATAGTGCAGGTAGCATGCCGGGTTAATCTCTGCATTCTCACTGTAAGCTGATTAGCCTGCTGTTTGCTGCTGAGGCTCTGAGCACAGCACATTCTCAGCTTAAACTAAAAAATGCATGTCTAATATGTTTATTGAGGTAGGAGGACATGGGGTGACTAATAAAGGGTTAGTTTGTTTTGGATTTCAGGGCTGATGTAGAGTCTGTTCCACTCACTGAGGTGCGCTGATCCGCTGATCCGAGCTGTCTCGTCCACTTACACTCCTTCTTACCCGCTCCCTGTTCACATCTCAACAAGCTCTATTGGACTTTTCACGGACCTACTTTCTGTCCCCTCTCTATTTGGAGTTATTAGTGAGTGGGTGAAGGAGCTTTACTACACCCTGCTGGTTCCTAGGTCCATGCTCACTACTCCCTATCTCCCTGCAAGGAGCATAATATATACAGGTTCCTATACAGGCTACAGTTTAGCTTGGAAATCATGCTTCAATCACACACAAAAGACACCTCTGTGGGTGTGAAAAACATCTTTCCATCTCTGCTGCAACACACTGCATACATTGTTTGTGTTTGTGATGGAGCAAAGATTCCACCACCTCCCACTCCTCTAAGGAATAAAGGAATGATGTGCTTCCTAACATCAATGTCTTGGTGACTTCTTGCACTAATTGGTGAACACCTGTAGATGGACCAATGACTAAATTCCTCTCCCTAGATGGCTTTAGTCCTGTATTGTCACTTTGTGAATTACATTTTACCCACACAATGGGAGTAAAACACATTGACTTGAGACAGTGTTCAAACAAAGGGGGATTGTGTGTTGAGGAGACACTGACGTACCAGAGAAATCTGAAAAAGAAGCAGTTGAGGGGCAGCCAGACAGACGCACAGACAACATGGTTGTGTTGGAAGATAACAGGAAAGCTCAACACGGATTTTTACTACATTTGTCCTGCTTGTCTTGGTAAAAATATGTATTTTAGAGGAGTGTGAGCTTTCATACAATCCTTCAATTGTTCGCCATGTCCTGGTGTGACATTGCAGTTAAAAAATTGGGCTTCCCTACCATTGAGCTGTTTGTAAAGGTAAGTGATGTCTGCATGCTTCTGAACAGTCAATGTTGATTATTCATACAGTATCTTTGCATGGATGGGTCTCGTTTGGTATCTGTCATTTCCTGAAGCAGATATATGGCTCTTCTCCTGCTAGACCTTTGTTTGTGTAGGCCTACTATGTGTTCCTTTTTGAAGACCTGTAGCCATGATGTACTCTGTTAAATGTCTAATATGTGTGTCTTTGTGTAGGCTGGAAGTGATGGGGAGAGCGTTGGTAACTGTCCATTCTCTCAGAGACTCTTTATGATCCTGTGGCTTAAAGGGGTAATCTTCAACGTCACCACTGTTGACCTCAAACGGTAATACAGTATAAAACACAATTCTTTATTGTTAGTCAGTTCGTTTTAAGTCTTGTTGTTGGACCTCTTGCGCACACCACGCACTTATGTCTCTCTGGTATCTATTTTATGTCTGTTGTAGGAAGCCGGCGGACCTTCAGGACCTCGCTCCAGGAACCAACCCTCCCTTTGTCACCTTCAACGGCGAGGTCAAAGTCGATGTCAACAAGATCGAGGAGTTCCTGGAGGAGAAACTGACCCCACCCCGGTACACACAAACACATCTACACAACAATAAAAAGTGTGCAGGGGTATTCAGCTGACTTCTTATCTTGTCTTTTACATCAGCTACCCTCGACTTGCTACCAAACATTCTGAAGCCAACACAGCGGGGATCGATGTGTTCGCCAAATTCTCAGCGTACATTAAAAACACGAGGAAAGACACCAACGATGGTAAGAAGGAGAGACAGAATCTGTGTATGTTTCTCAAAAGTGGCCAGAAACCAAGAACAGAGCTAACTGAGAATTCCTTGGACTATTAGGTGGACTAAAACACAAGCCAGATATCATATCATAGCAATAATATCCTCTGATAGATTTGTGTGCTGTTCTCTCTGTTTGTATCTCTACCTGCAGTGTTAGAGAAAGCCTTGCTGAAGTCCCTCCGGCGTCTTGATGACTTCCTGAGGACTCCTCTGCCTGAGGAGATCGACGCTGACGCCTCAGGAGATGTGCCCGAGTCCTCCAGGAGCTTTCTAGACGGCCCTGAACTCACCCTGGCCGACTGCAACCTGCTGCCTAAACTACACATCCTTAAGGTTCATCCACCTCTATGGTCATATTCTCCTGCTCTATTGTGCAGGAGTCCTAGAACCTGGAAATTGGCTTTAGCACATCTGCACCACTCTACTCTAATATTGCGATGCGTCGATGACCAACACGTGTCAACTCACTACTCTTTGCAGGTCGTAGCCAAGAAATACAGAAGCTTTGAGATTCCAGCGGAGATGACGGGGGTGTGGAGGTACTTAAACTGCGCCTACCAGAGGGAGGAGTTCACCAGCACCTGCCCCGCTGAGAGGGAGATCCACTTTGCCTATCTGGATGTTGCTAAGAAAATCAAATGAGATGAAACAGAGAGGAGAGATGTATCATGCCTATCTGTAGTACAAGTAGACTAAATGAAGACCTCCAGGAAATAGAATAGGATGACCTATACAAAAAATAGTCAGTCTTTTTAACGTGTGTGTGTGTGTGTGTGTGTGTGTGTGTGTGTGTGTGTGTGTGTGTGTGTGTGTGTGTGTGTGTGTGTGCACGTGTGGGTGTGTGTTTCTATGTGGGCTCCCACAGGTTGGGTAGCACAGTCATGCTCTTCTTAATGCTTATTATTTTACAAATGATGACAAACAGTTTTTTTTTTCCAAGATGACGACTAAATAAATAGCAGAATTAACAAACATTACTTCAGTATTACTGCATTAGAAACCACTTAGTAAATGTTAAGTTCATTTTATGTTATCTAACAATCTGGGTTTGGTTAACAACGTGTCTTTTAATTTCTATCATGTCAACAATTTATGTGATCATATATCTGGAATTTCATTAGCATCACATTGTGAATGTATTGGATTCTAGGAGCCAGTGCGGCTGATGGAACCTTCAAGATTTTCCCTAGTGTTACCAACACTTTAATACACATATATCAAACCAACCATATTATCAGCCGGCTGTGTTCTGGCCTTATATTCTGTCTGAGGACAAACTTTAATAAACTGATTTAATCACTGTGTGGATTGAATTCTTCATGTTTTGCATCTAAAGAAATTATATCAGGTCATACACAACTAAATGGAATGCAGTTCAAATGATAATACATAAAGTGACAATCAACAAATATGGCCATTTAAAGTTCTAAATAATTGTAGTGTATATTAAACACATACACACACTTCGACGGTGGAGCATGTGCAGACACACACACACTGATCACCGGGGCGACAGTAACATTGACCTCTGTGGAAACCCTCTGAATGTAATGACCGCAGTTTGCACACAGCAAACACACCACGCTCAATGAGCTTAGTTACATCCAGAGGAGGAATGTCCTGTTCATATCGAGGCATCGTCAAGTTAAGTCACAACACAAATAGTGTTATTACAGGGTGAAAAACACAATAATGTCGAGCAAGTTGTGTAAAAACGCACAACCATTTCAAACAAAAAATTCTAAAATGTAATCTTGCCGCTTGGAAATCTCTTTGTTCTTTGGGTGCAATAGTTAAAAAAGATAATAAACACTCCTAGACTCAGTGTGTGATTTATTACATGTAGAATTAAGCTAAAACTCAAGGAAACTGCTGCTTATGGACTGTTTTTATGTAGCTGTCAGTCATTGTCACTACTCACTACCATGACGCAGCAGGTGACCCCAGAGTGTGAGTATAATGAACAACTAAAGAGAGTGCAGTGGTATAAAAATTAAATATCAATCTTTATTGTCACAGTGGGGTTTTGCCATGCTAGAAACAAACTTTATTTAAAATATGGTGCACACATACAACAACAGCGTGTGTCTGTCTTATAAGGGAACGAAAGGGTTAACAGGGTTCTCATGCGCCCGGCTTCAGGCACACATCGTCGTCTTTCACGGGTCAGTCTTGTTAATTAATGAGTGAATGAAAAGGTCCGATGCAAGGATGGCGCCGCTGTGGGGCTTCCCGGTGGCGAGGCAACGGTAGCCTAGCGCTCAGGTCCGAGAAGAGCGAGAGGAGAGGCAGGAGACCGGTGAAGGGATGAAGGGCGGATGAAGCTTGAAGTTTAACATCTTACACTTTTTTTTATCAATAAAACAAAATGTTTTCACTAGGCCACTTCTGCAGGGTCTGAAAGAATAGGTTTAGGCCTGCTGCCATCTAGTTTAGCATAAAGACTAAACGCTTAAGCCTTTATGCTAAGCTAAACAGCTGAGCCTCCATCCTTTTATTTAACAATAGAGAGAGGTATCGATCTTGCTTTGAACATTTGGCGTTCACTGACACCTTCAGATCATCCTTAAGCTAGTGGGTTCGCATGTCATGATGAAGACTACAACCAGCCTTCTGCATGGAAATGTTCATCATCAAACCATCATGGGAGAGTGAGGCAAGGTCTTCAGGTTTTTGTAACTGCCGTATGATTGTAAATGCAGGGGTTGATGGATGGATGGATGGATGGATGGATGGAGACCATCAGTTCTGGGAGCAGTACTTCCAGAAACACACTGTTGGAGACAAAGAAGAAGAAGATTATCATTCTCCAAGATCTACAAAGTTAAAGGCTAATACTGTGTTGGGTCATAATAGTTTCAGATGTACTATTCCGAGAGCTGCTTGCTTAGGATAATGCATTCTCGAGTCTTTTTCATCTTTCTCATTAGACAGTCGGCACTTTATATGACTTGATTTCTCTGTGTTGCCACCGTATAATTAATATGTAGTCTGCCCATAATGCAGACAGCAGAACGGAAAGCGTCCTTCACCTCTTTTGTTGGTCTTCTTGGTCTGCGTTGGGAGGGACTTCTTGAAATTTCGACCAGTCAGACTGGGGATGAGGACATCTGCACTGGCTCTGGATGCAGTGCTGCTGACTGCTGATGGGGCCACTGTGGTGGGCTTCACCCCTCCCTCAGCAGCAGGGTGCTTCAACAACAGAGAGAAAGGAGAGCAATGATTATTAAAACCAAGAATCATAAACTTCCTTATTCCTTTTTAAATGTAATTGAGAGCAAATATTTCACAGGTACTTACCACTCTATTTTTCCTTCCTGAATTTTTGCCATTTGCTGAAAGGACAAACAGAAATTGCTTTAGTGAAAATGACCCAGATGAAGTGAGAATAGTGGCTAAATCACTGGTGTATGTGAAGAGACACTAGATAGTCCAAAAGACAAGTATGCATGTATAAAAACAAACAATCCAATCAATGAAATAATGAAATGATATTAAACTAGCTGCATGCAGGGATCCAAATGTAAAGGATTATTCTGACCAATGGATACTTCTGTATTGGGTATTATACTGTAGGACATTCCATGTGTAAAGTGCACAGAAGCTAAAAGCAGATTTCCTGAGCTCAGCGCTAACTCAAGAGGGCTTTAAGTGTTAGCCAATCACTGGAGCCAGTACAACAAGGTCCAGAGGTCCAGTTCATTAATGACGTGATATAAGGTGGCATAACTCCAACGATGGCTTTATACAGAAAGAGATGAGGATGAGTACAATATGTATCCCTGAGGCCATGAAGAAATACAGAAAGCATTGGAGGACAGTTCCTGATTTTTAATGGATTGCTGCACAGCCAGTAATATAGACGAATGTGTCATCTGCATAAAGATGAACTTGACAGCCACTTTGAGATGGGGAAATATAATTATTATAACTGCTAATTAAGACTGGATAATATCATTTACATATACTGTAGATGTAGGGATGGAGCTTTGTTTTTCCATATGTGGGGTTAGAAAAGAGTGCTCTAAGATAAATAGTTTGAGGTATCATTACCTCTTGGCATGATGGTGATCCTGGAGCTCCGTGTGCTGTTAAACGCCCGGTGCAGCTCCTCCAAGGCTGAGATCATCTTCAGCATCTGGCCCCGTTTATCTGGCCCTGCTGTCCCCGGGCTGCTCCTCACCCTCCCTTCCCTGACGCCCGCAGTGATGGTCCTTGTCGTGGTTTTGTCAGTTCTCGTTGTCCCATCCACTCCTGCTGCTTTGGTACTCAGAAGCCAGTGTTTCAGGAACTGGCTAGGATTTGTCTTCTCTGGTACAGCTGATGCATGAGTGAGACTAGGAAGACTTTTTGCAAAGCCTGGGGAGAAAATCATATATTTTAAACGTTTTCCAGATCCAAGTAGGGTTTGTATGAAAAGGTTGACTGAGTTCAGGTCTCTGATTTGCTTTAATTCTCAGTCTGCCTTTTCGTAGCATACTACCACAGATCCTACACACACATGACCCTCAAAAAGTCCTTAACACAAACACACACACATAGCCTATTTTGGTGGGATACCATTGCTTTGCTGGTTGCTAGCAGAGTTGCTACGGGATCTTCAGCTGTGACATAAGAGTTGTATGAATTGTGTAATGACGTAGGAGGTTTCGCAACAACACAGCTCAGTATCTTACTGTTTAGACTAGTGCTGTCAATGGATTTTATTTTTTAAAAGTTAAATACATGATATGCAGATTATTTAATCGCCATCAATTGGATATCCATATCTCTTTGTAAGCACCTGCAAATTAAGATATTTAAACTCAGAAACATGACATATTTGTGCTAACTCAAACCCTAACCCAAATCTGTTCAAACTACACAAATCTCTATCCCTAACCCTTTGATTTATCTGCTTAAGCTTGCATTATTATTAGCATAAATATTGGTTTGGATGGAGATCACATCATGATGTATTCTTAGGAAGCGATAATCTTGGCCGGTCTTCTATTGGACCATTTTGGGGAGGTCAGGATCGAAGTTTGGCAACCAGGATCTTTCCCGCATTGCAACAAAGGCTTTACTATAGTTAGATAAAAACGATTTTGGTCCGTAGGTACGGTTGGACCTGTTCAATCGGCTTCAACAGCTTCCTTACCTCTGTCAGTGGGTGCCGCCTCCACTCCTGTCCCCACAAACACCAGCATCATCATGACCACCTTCATCACAGACACAAGTGCTGAGCTGTTAAGCATGGTTACTGAGCACTGAAGGAAAACCTATGTAGCAAGCAACTATAGTCACTATCAGTCAATTGACTTTCTTTTAACTCAGGATTTTGTTCCAAGAAGCTTCTCAAACTGACTTGTTTCTCATTTACTCTTCCGACTTTTTGTTGATGTTGCCGAGGATGTAGACGTCCACTGAGATGATTGGTCTTAGGTTTTGAAAATCAATCAGCTTGTTCTGTTCTGATGCTTTGAGATACTTCGAAATGCCTCGGATATACTCAAAAACGTTTTCGGTTGTTCTTAGCTTCTTCTGTTTTTCAACCAGGAGATGGTATTCGTCTAATTTAATTCCAAGTCTTCTCAAAAACGTTACAATAAAAAATCTTTCCGTTTCAAAATCTGTCTGTTCAATCCATGGATGCACCTCTTGAAGAAGGCTTGTCAACAGTTGGTCGGACCCGTTCCTTTTCGTAATGCACCAACCAATCTGGCCTTTATAAACCTGGGGTTCGCTCCTTAATGACGGATGGCTAAGCGTCAACCAATCACTGGCCTGAAAGCCACCAAACGCCCCGCCTCTTCCTCATTGATGGATCGGTGACATTTGGGTAGTTTGGCGGCGGGCTTTGTGTGTTAGGAGTCAAACCTATCTTTTTGTGAATGTGTTGTGTGTGGGTTTAGTCTTGTATTTAACGTGTATGTGTTGTGTGTGTGGCCCTGGCTGTATAAGCAGTGATAAGGTAGTTCTTAATATGTTTGCTCAGGGGCCACAGAGAGAGAATGGCCCTCTGACGCATGAGGGCCTGGAGCCACACTGACTACACTCGCACACACACACAACTCGCAAATACAACATTCAAACACAGAAAACGACATGGCAAACTCATGTACGTACACACTCTCACACACACAATCCTGGGGTCAGTTTGAACTTGGAAGAAAGGGTGGAAGACACACACACACACACAGATTGTAAAAGAAGCGTGGGATGCACATCAAAGGGCAAAGAAAGGCTGAGAAGTCGTGTCCAAATGACAAAAGGCTAACCGAGGGTTTTCTCCCTTTTTTGTGACGACTAATCCCTCAGA